CCCCTTGCGCCAGACTCGGTTGTCAGACTAGCTTCAGCAGACCCTTTGTCAAAGGGTCTTTGGCTGAGCTGGGCAGAGGGTGATGGTACACGGAAAAAAAACATTCTGAGCCTCAGCTGAGCTGCAAATGGAGCAGGCTGGTAGAGCTAGACTCTGACCTGTCATAACTTCTGACCAGAGGTCCATCTTGCCATACCTGCCTCAGGCTCTGTGCTCCCTTCCGAAGGAGTCCTCAAACTCTAAACCGGGATGGAGCCATGTTTGGGTTTTTCCTTGTCGCTTCTCATTACAGGCTCTCTATTTTCTAATCACTGAGCAAACTCACCAGTGCCTAGAGTGGCCTTGCCTTTGGCCAGTAAAACAGTGAACCATGGTATTACTGGCATATTCCTGAGATTGTTCAGAGATGTTTTTGTGGGTAGAATGGCCTCAATTTCCTATCATTTCACAACCTAAGAATTTCCTCTGCACTGTCTTGCTTTCTCGCTTTTAATAGCAAGAATGCTATAAGACAAAAAAGCCAAAACAGAAATCTTAAAATGCATTGTATATCTAGTCATGGTGAGCACAATTTGCTTTTCTTCCAAGCAGTTTGACACAGGCTTTTTTAAAAAGCATTACAAACGTCTTCAAACTCTTTATCTGGAACTTCAGTATCTCTTTGTTTAACACTGCTGTTCCCAAATGGGCTTGGGCATAGGTGGAGTCTAAGATAGTTGGGGACCATTTGTTTTGCATTATCTTACTGGGTTTGGGTTTTTACTGTGTCATTTTTAAAGAAATCTCCTTTTATGCATATTCGAGGAGCTGGAGCAGAGCTGTGAGGAGAAGCTCCATATCTGGGCAGGAAGTCCTGCTGACCAGGCAGCCTGAAAAACAGGCAGCGGCCCCTGTTATGTTTGGCCCCTGCACAGCGGTGGAAATGAGTGGCTCAAACCTCCCTCCACTTCCGAGGGAGTGAGGAATAACACTGTCCTCCAGAGAGACGTGGCTGTGCTTCCAGTCGTGGTGAGGAGATGCTGCCTAGAGGGCTCTGAGCTGTCAGGGCAGGGTGATGCAGCGATCAGTGGGTAAATGCCCCATCCCCATGTGGAGGGGTCTTGAGTCTGTTTGCCCAGGCTGATCCTGGTGACATCTGTCCATGCCACAGAGATGTCTCCAAGGCTTCATGGGGCCACCTGAGCTGCTATCCCAGCACCTTCCCTTCCTGCTGGAGACCTACATCTCTGAGGGCAGGGGAACCTGAGCTAGCTCAGGAGCCACGTGTTGCCTTGAAGAGCCTCTCCATTTTTGCGTTGTTTCCCCCAAATGTTTTCCTGTAGCTTCAGCCTCACAGCTAGCTTGCAAGGTGAGTGATGCCACTCACACCTACAAACACGAGTTTCCGAGGAGATTTGGAGCTCCTGGCTAAAGGCATGTTGTCTGGTCCTGGCTAGAGCAGTGCACAAATTGGAGGGCCAGTGAACAGCTCTTCTACACATGTCTGAAGCAGTTCGTGGCCAAAGATCAGGGCTAGCACTTGTTTAGTTTTGTCTTCAGGAAATGGATGATCGGCTTTTGTTATATAAACCCAAGGCAAAGCTTGCCTTTTGATGCCAATGGGTTTGTTCAAGTGAAACAACAATGGCAGTTTAAGATAAGAGCTGTGATTTTGCTCGATTAAATGTGATCCATTTTACTGCATTTGTTTGCGCTGAGTAAATGTGTAACTGCAGTGAGACAACGGTGGAAGTTCAAAAGCAGTTCCTGGGGTGCTGGCAGAGGTGCTATGCCAGGTCAGGAGGCGGAGGGGTGCAGCCTGCCTTGCTCCAGTAAGCCTCACAGGGACAGGCTGTGCTGCAGGGTGCCCCTTGGGTTGGAGCACTTGTTGGACTTGTCTGTCCCTCTGTGAGCTGGCTCTTTGCCTGTGGTGTGGGGCACCACATGCTGGATCCCGGCTCTGCCAGCCTTTGGGATGTTCATCCTGCCCTTGCCAACGCAGTCATGCCCAAGCTGTTCTGTGGCAGCGTTTGGTGTCGGATGGGTGTCCAAAACCACTCTAGCAGCCTGGACACAGATCCTTTGGCTAACTGGGGTGATGGGTAGTGCCAGCCTGCTCTGGAAGGCAGGGGCAAGGGTGTTCTGGGGAGAACTGATTCAGTAGGTACTTTCCTGGGGTTTAGACTGAGTAAAGATCAGTTAAACTTGGACCTGGGATGTGAAGCAGAAGTCATACTTGGACAAGTATAACTAATTACCGAGGAAAGGCCTTGTTAACACTGAAGAAATAAAGGGAAATACTGGGTTTAGGTATCTGTGTGGAGGTCACAGGCTGATGACCCCCCCAAAAATGGCTGTGAGTTCCTGCCCTGGCACTTAGGCTGTGAAGCATTGGGCTGTCTCGTTGGGGGTTCACTTACTGGTTCTTGCTACTGACAGTGCTTTTCCCTCGCTTCCCCCTCATATGTAATGGAACTCTTCCAAAGGAGTTTATTTAATATAGATGTTTGTATTTTAAGTAAACAACCATTCATAGTCCCTTGCCTATACTCAGCTTCTGACTCATTAAGATCAGAGTCAGTTCAAAAAACCATCAGTTAGTAGGTGTCTAGTGGAGTTCCACAACGGGCAAAGACTCTAAGTGGTCTGTGCTGGAATCTTAAATGTCTTTAGCTCTTCTGGCACATAGCTGGAGAAACAAAATTGTCCTATTTTTCTGGGTAGTAGAGGCAGGGTGGGGTGTATGTGCATGCTAAGACTATTTTTAAGATGTATTTTTATGAATACCCAGGGTGAGAGGTCTTTTCACTGGCTTCAGAATACCTGAAAAAAATCCTGTAGGCTAAAAATGAGTTAAACTACAGGTGAAAGCCAAGGCACAAATGAAATGGCAGTCCTGGGGGCAAAGTGAGCTGAAATGGGTCATTTTGTACCCTTTGGGCTGTGTTTCTCAAGGATGAGTAGCCTTGTATGGAGACTTAATAGTTCTGCCCAAAAACAGCATGTAAAGGCTTCCCTACTTAAAGTTGGCAAACTAGCATCCAGCCATTTCTAGAACCATCTGTTCATAAATGCTTTGTCCTTATTAGCAACACTGGGCTTTCCAAGTAAATTAAATGTCTTTCCTGAGTGCCATTAAATAACCTTTTCCTCCCAAAAGCTGCAGAATGAGTTGGAATGTCAGCGCAGACCTTGGGGTGCCCCAGGTCTGCGCAGGAGCTTTGAGGAGCCTGGGAGTGGGACGGGTTGAAGCAGGAGGGAACAGGAGGAAGGAGCAGCTGCCAGCATCACCACTGGCTTTGCATCTGAGCGGAGCTGTGGAGCCCTGCAGGATCCCTGCAGAACCTCCTCAAAGGGGAATTTATTTTTTAACCACACACACCACTGCAGAGTGAAGGAGCTGAGCATGTTCACCCCAACCCACATCTTAAAAACATCCTCTGTTCTCTTACTGCTCTTGATCCCTCCACTTGAAAACAGGTTTTGGCAGGGATGGTCTCTGCCTGTCCCTGTGTGAAGCTGGAGAGGGCTGTGCTGTGCAAGAGATGGGGGCTGCTGGGTCTGGGCAAGGAAGACAAGGAGCTGGGGCAGGAGGCAGCATAACAAATACTGATTTAAATAATGATCTTGTAATGAAAGACTATTGTAACACAAACACACATGGAGTAGATTAATATTGCACAGGCAGGCAACACCCTTCTCTAGAATAGAAACCTCTGCGGCTTCAACTGTTCTTCTCATGGAGTCTTAATTAATGAATAGTCAATATCTAGAACAAGCTTGTGGTTTGAGAGGGATTAAAGATCTACAAGAACTTGATGAATGGGAGCAAGCGCCAAAAAGGGCATGTTGGTGTGAGACCTGTATGTGCTAAGCCTTAATGGAAAATGCAGACTGTGAGGTCCAGAATGGTCAGAAAATTGCAGCAGTGACACTTTATAATGCTCCTTGAGAACTGCCTCTATTAGTCTTGCGGAGGTGGGTGACTACTCTCAAGCTTAACCTCTGACTGCACAGGCGAGTCTCCTGAGATGCTGCTGTTGCAGCAGTCCTGAGGGTGGGACTGCTCTTGTTTTTAAGTCCATTTTTACAGAGAATAAATGTGTCTTTCAGACAGGAGTCTGAGAATTTCTGTGAAAACAACTAGGCTAAGATAAAGTCAATGTCCTGTGGTGTCACTTCTCCCTGATGCTTCCTGCAGTACTTCTTGTCTCCCATCATACCCTTCTGCAGTCTTCACGTTCAGAAAGCCATGTCTGATAAACCCACAGCGCAGACACTAAAATAGGTTTATTTTCCAATGTTATTGGCTCCTGTTGTCTTTTTGCACTTGTTTCTCTCCTGTTGGGAAGTTCTTAGGACCATCTCTGTGCAGCAGTGAGCACCCATGTATACAGGTGACTTCCTTCAGTTTTCAGTGTGCAGCAGAAAGTGCAGCTCAACCATAGCCCTTCTTCCATCCTGCTTTTCCTCCTGTGTTTCCTGTTCACCGTGGAAACCACCTGTAAAGTCCAGCACCAGAGGTGTGGGAGTATGCCCCATTCCCAAAATACACTTGAGTCCCTGTAGGAAGACCAAGGAGGTCCAAGCTGCAGTAAAAAATGTTTAACATCAGGTCATGGCAGTGCACCTCCATGTCTCGCTGCCTGAAATTTATGACTTGCACGTTGACTTGCACAGATTCATGTGCAATACATAAGCTGAACCCAAATAACCTTTTAATGAGATCTGAGGCCTGTGTGCATGAGATTAAGGTGGCTGCCCAGTGTGTGTGCATGTTCATTGTTTGATGTGCCATACCCCCACACTGGTCCAGACATGCCATCTTCTCTCACTTTAAGGCAAAAATCTTCATCCCGAGCATCCCTAAAAAACTTGTAGCAGGTCAAATGACATTTGGGAAGTTTGAGGCTTCATGAGATAAGGCACATCTGAAGGACAAAACACAACATTGGTACTCTAGTCTCCGATAATCTTTGAGAATAAAGCCTTTCCAACTCGAGTGTCCTGTTCTTTTCCAGATGTCAGCGAGCCAGCTGCAGTCAGGAAGAGGTGTGCCTTGTTTACGCTGCAGAGGGACGTGCACAGGCTTTGAGCCACATTCTTGGAGGTAACATCTTGACCTTGACAGGCCCTGCCCTGACGCTGTCCCTTTGGTCCTGCTGATGTTTAGACTCCAGTGGCTTTGAGTGCAAAGAGCTGCGAAGCACTGGGGTGGTGGTGGGAGGTGTGGAGGGGACACGCTGGCTGACTGGGACAGCTGCTGAGCTGGGCAGATACTTGTGCTCCCTGGTCTCCATACCCCTTCCCCACTGGTCTTACTGTTTTATTTTTTGAGTTAAAACCTCATCTGCAAGTGCTTAAACCAAGCTGAGGCTCTTGTGCAGTGGGTTTTTTTCCTCTTTTGCTACCACTGCCTGCTCCCTGGAAGTTGAGACTATCTCTGTGAGGTTGGATGCAGGTCTTGACCCTGAGCTGTGGCTTGGGAAGAGGAGAAAGCTGGGTGTGAGGTGGCCTGGCCTGCAGAAGAGTCTCACCTGCCATGGACTTGTCCCTGGCACAGCCCTGCATTGTTGGTGCTGTTTGGTGGGACATGGGGAGGGGGACATGGTGCCAAAGCTGCTACAAGCTGTGCTTGGCACAAGCCACCTGATGCCCTGCACAGCGTGTGGGCCAGGGCAGGGCTTCTCTGCCTGTTGGATTGTTTGGAAATGATTGGAAGAAACACATCATTGCTTGCTTTGGAGGCAGGGAAATGCTGACCAAAAGGACAATCCAGCACTGTTGGCCGGAGTTGTGCCAAGTGCCTGTCTGTCACCCTCGTCCTTGAGGGTGAGTGTGGGTGCAGGGCTGGCGGAGTGGAACAAAGCCCTTGGCGAGGGCTCGGTGCCATGCCCGCTTGGCAGCACCACAGTGGCCATTGCTGCTGGCTGTCCTGAGCATCCCGACAACTGAAATCCTGTGCCAAGTGTGGGAAACATCTTGTTATTTGATACTTTATTTTCAGTTTTTCCCCTTAAAAACACTAATGTAGGTAAACAGCCACCAGTATCAGCAGCTGGTGGGAGCTGAGCAGTACTGCGTATTTGGCTCTGGGCAGGGGCAGCAAGCTGCTGCCCTGCCCTATCTGCTTCCAAACCAAAATGGGAGAAACAAAGGGGGCTTTGAAATGGAAGGGACCTATCCAGATGTCATTAATTAAAAAAGCATTAGTTCCCTCTGAGGTTCTCTTGCACAACACTAGACTCTTCTGTGAGCTGGGAGAGCTCCTGTTGGCTGCTGGCTGGGCAGGCAGGGCTGTGGTAGCGGTGCAGTCTGCAGGTGTGCTGCTGGAATGCTTCACCGTGGTGGCATGCAACTGTGTCCTGCAGCCTTCCCTTCCCCGCTTCAGTACTTCAGCTGTGTGAAATCCAAACTTCAACACACTTCTTCGGTTGAATCACTACTTTTGGGGGTTTTAATTGACTCAAAGACTCATTTGAATCATGCTTGTTCCAGGATCCTGCTTAAATACTTGGGGTTGCATCAGAGTTAGTTTTGTCCGTTTTGCTGTTAGTGTTTGGTGGAAAAGCTGTCCAGCAGTGTGACCTTAGACTTAACTTGATGATCTATAGCTATTGTAATTAAAATGATAGACAATTAGTATCAATTCCTCTTTTAGCAGTCACTTTTTAAATGGCATTTAAAACTTTGTAAGATGTGAGGCTAGTGCTCAGCTGTTGGAGCCTGGTGAGGGTGGGAGATTAGTAATGCTTAAGGGGTTTTCAAAATTCACAGGCAGTGGCATCTTTCTGTGGCAGGTGGGAGGCAATGCTCTGTTGCCACTGCTGTGGCTGCTTTTGCCTTGGGACAGCACTTAGGGGCTTGCAGCTTTCTGCTCTGTACCACTGCCAATCTCTCTAGGATTAAAGGCTGGACGTGACCCAGCGATGTGCACTCACAGCACCAACATCAGAAGGACACGGACCTGCTTGAGTGGGTCCAGAGGAGGACACAAAGATGATGGGGGG